AAAAGAAAAGTAACTATAGGACAATAAGCCACAGATATGCAGCCTTTAAAGTCTGATCTTTAACTCATAAAGATAGCCTCACAAAATGTAAGACCTCAAAAAATTGGTCAATGACTCATAATTGTTCCTCTCCACGGAAATCTTTAGTAAAAGGCGAAAGATTTATACGATCTGAAGAGAAACCAGAGTATAAGGTACATGGCTCACTTCCAATCTCCCAGGGAGACACAACACTTAATATACTTATGGTGATTCAGCGACTGCTCTGCACCCGCTTTGTGGCTGCAGTTTATATATATGTAGATTTTCAACAGTCGTCACGTCCTACAATTGTGGAGACGACCTCTCTGAGATGGAACCCAAGAGTCGCGAAGCTGTCTTCTCGTGGTGCACTATGGGTATGCAAATTGAGGCGTCTCTGGGACGGTCCAGGTACCAGCTGTAGGACCTGATAGGTCCACTGGCGCCAGACGTGGAGCCCTGCGGGCCTCTGCTCTCACTCTCCGTCTTCCCTGTAGTCTGCCTGGGACTGCACTCGTCTGCCCGGAGAGGTGGGGGCATTTCCCACGGGTTACAGGTTCTTGGTGCCGAATCCCTCATGGGGGGATGGGAATGGTAAATTGATAGTTCCAATTAGGGTTCCATTCTCTTGTTTCTAACCCGCAGGGAACTCCCAGCCCTAGGGAAACAGCAGCTAAAAGCCAAGCATCGAATTCAAGGGGAGTGGGACCATGTCGGAAGCACATCACCACCCCTCCTGGAGAAGATGACATCCAATTCATTTCCAGTGGTTAAGGAGGGATGGGACAGTGCTCTAAGGCAGAGGAAATGATGAATGCGAAATTATGGAGGCTGGGGATGTTGCTCAGCGGTTAAGCACCCCTGGGTTCAATTCCCAGTACTCCGGTAGGGGGAATCCTGAAAAGAGCCAGGCAGGATTACACAGGATTACACATCTGAAATCCTAGCTATTGGATGGACAGAAGCAGGAAGAATGGAAGTACAAACCCAGCCTGGCTTGAAAATAAGAAATAAAAAGGGCTAGAGATGTAGCTTAGTAGTAAGTTCTCCTGGGTTCAATTCCCAGTACCAGAAAAGGAGCACTTGCCTAGCTTGTATGAGGCCCTGGGTTCAATCCTCAGTACAAAATAAAATAAAATAAAATAAAAAGCCTGAAAGGGACTGAGGTATAGCTCAGTGGTAAAGTTCTTGCCTAACATGTACAAGGCCCAAGGTTTGATCCTCAGCACTGTGGAAAGTAGGGACACCCTACAAAATAGTCTCTAATCTTCTGCTGAGGCTCGAGATCAGTAAAGTTAGCGAACTTGGCCAGATTTTTCAGTGGTTAGTGATATGGTGGTTTTACATCTTTTACACTATTCTGGTCTGCTGAGCCCTCTCTGCTTCACTCAAAAGCCCCTCCCTAAGTGGGTGTGGTGATAGACACCTGTAATCTCAGCATCTGGGGACGCTGGGGCAGGAGGATGGAGAGTTCAAAGCCAGCCTCAGAAATAAGTGAGGAGCTAAGCAACTCAGTGAGACCCTGTCTCTAAATAAAATATAAAATAGGGCTGAGGATATGGCTCAGTGGCCAAGTGCCCCTGAGTTCAATCCCTGGTACCTAACCGATACTTGATCCATATCTGGCCTCCATCCCTTGGACATGAGGGATATACCCCTCCCACTGGATTTTAAGCCAACTGCTTTTCCCCCTCACTTCAGTTGTAGTGTTGATTCATCTGCTGTAGGCTGAGTGTGAGTGTGTGTGTGTGTGTGTGTGTGTGTGTACGTTTATAACTTTCAATCAGAACATGAGGAAATGGTGAATGTGAAATTATGGAGGCTGGGGATTTATCTGGTTTTGGGTGGGGTGTTAGAAGTATATTTGGATGGGATCATTCCTGCTGAGTAGGTGGTTGGAACCCAGGGTTTATATCTAGCCCAAAGATGAGTGTTCTGTGAAGGGCAATAAAAGAGATACTCTCACCCACTGGGTGAGGCTCTGTACTCTAGCCCAGGGGTGTGTTCAGACTCATCAAGGCCTCTGTACAATGGGGCTGGTTAATCTTCTCAGTAAAGGCACTGAATTTATTTTATTTTATTTATTTTATTTTTTTAAAGATAGAGTGAGAGAGAGGAGAGAGAGAGAGAATTTTTTTAATATTTATTTTTTAGTTCTCGGTGGACACAACATCTTTGTTGGTATGTGGTGCTGAGGATCGAACCCGGGCCGCATGCATGCCAGGCGAGTGCGCTACCGCTACCGCTTGAGCCACATCCCCAGCCCCAAGGCACTGAATTTAAACTGTGCTGATTGTTGCTAAATATCTGGATGGTTCACCCATCTAACTAGCTGGTGGTCAAATATGCCTCCCTGTTGTCAGGCTGGTATGCAGAGGCTCTGCCTTGAAGTTTGCTCTGGGCCCAGGCTCCTGTCCTCCAGCTCACAAACTGCCTGAAACATATTCTTAGGTTCTGTTTCCCCAGCTCTGCTTTGATTGGCCACTTGCCTGATCTGCTTCCACTTTACCTTCTGGTGACTTCACTGACCTTGGTGTTGCCCCTCTACCCCTACCCCACATGACAATGATGCAGGAATGTGGGAAGTAAGTGTGAAGAGGTGAGCAGAGTTGGAAAATGATTTCTCTGAAAAACCACACAGTACAGTTTGACACCAAAAAATATTATTATTTTTTGATGCCTTAGCCACTGAACCACATCCCTAGCCCTTTTATTTTTTATTTTGAGACAGGATCTCACTAAGATGCTTAGGTTCTTACTAAATTGCTGAGTTTGGTTTTGACTTTTCAATCCTCTGTCTCGGCCTCCTGAGCTGGTGGGATTTCAAGCATGTACCACCATGCATGGTGATGTGTGATTCTTCTGGGAGTTCAGTAAACCAGAATGTTTATAGGAATATGGAGAATAAAGGGTATTCTCAGATTTCATATGAGAATGAGTACTCTTGGAAGTTTAGACTAAAGGCCATTCCTGTCACATTCTGGTAAAGACTTTTTTTTGTTCATGCCCTGAGACTTTGTGTGAGACTGAATTTAAAAATAATGGGCTAGGCTGGGGTTGCAGCTTAGTGGTAGAGCACCTGTTAGGCACTGGTTTTGGTTCTCAGCACTACATTAAAAATATAAATAATAAATTAAATTAAATTATTGTGTCCATGTACAACTAAAAATATTTTTCCTAACAATGATGGCCTAATTAAGAGGCACTTTCAAGGGAGGAGAGTGTTCAGGCTGGTGCATGGGTATTGCTACTGCTTTTAGCCAGATTTACAGAAAGCAAAAAGCACAATGGAAAGATTTGAAAAAACTCAGTTCAGCCAGAAAAGAAGCACATATAAAATTATGGTTAAGCTGGGGATATAGCTCAGTTGGTAGAGTGCTTGCCTTGCATGCACAAGGCCCTGGGTTCAATCCCCAACACCCCCCCTCCTCACCACACACACACACAAAATTCTGGTTAAGGAGTGTGTGGTCACCAAAGAGATTAACACCATGACTGGCAATGGGGCAGTAGGCATCTTGGGAATTGGCTAGACCTCATCCATCACAGACTCAAGGGTGTAAAAATGTAAACTTGTTTGACTTTACTTTGACTCCCTGGGGAGTCGTGCTGGAATAGGGCCATGTAGGGAATTTGTTTCTTGGGATTTATTTTCCCATGTTCAGCCATTGAACAACTCAGAGGTTGCTTCACCCTTAGTACAAAAAGGCCTGGGTCCTGCTCCAGTCTGTCCAGCCACAGACTTTGACATCGTCAATGTGCTATTTATTCAGGCATGCAGAATGCAGAGTTGTGGGGTCATGGAAGCTTCCCCCAAGATTTCAAAGAAATCCTGAAAAGAGCCTCCTCTGAGAGGGTCATGCATGAAGGCGTTTATCAACGAAGTCAAAGCTGCCATGGAGACACAAGGAAGTTGGAGATGGGCAAGAACCCAACTGTGGGTGGTGAGTGGAGACAACCCAAGAAATTGTCTTATAAGTCAGCAAGGTTGAGCTGGGGTTGCGGCTCAGGGGTAGAGCTCTTGCCTAGCATGTGCGAGGCACTGGGTTCGATCCTCGGCACCACATAAAAATAAATAAATAAAATAAAGGTATTGTGTCTAACAATAATTTTTTAAAAAGCAGCAAGGGTATAGAGGGAGAGGCTGCCCAAGTCCTTTGGCACTCACATCATGCCACTGCCCTGTCTTGCCTTGTCTCACTTTGGTCTGACTCCTTTTACCAATTTCCAGTTCTTCCCTTTTGGGATGGAGATGTTTACTTACTGCCATTTTATCATAAAGTTATATAACTTTCTTTTTGGTTTTACAGGGACTCACAGCTATGAGTTTGCCCTCCAGTCTCAGAGGAGACTTTGGATTTTTGAGCAGTACTGGGACTATTGAGACCATGGGAACACTTGGAGAGGAATTAAATGCATATTTTGTCGATGGGCATGAGCCTTTGAGGGCTAAGGGCAGAATATTAAATGGTTTGGATCTGAGATGTTCCCCAAAAGTTCAGTTGTTGAAGGCTTGGTGCCCAGTGTAGCAGTATTCAGAAGTGGGATCTTTGGGCTGGGTGTGGGGGAACACACTGTAATCCCAGCTACTTGGGAGGCTGAAGCAGGAGGATCACTTGCTTAGTATACATGAGGCCCTGGGTTCAATCCTTGGCAACACACACACACACAAAGGTGGGGTGGTGCCTAGTCAGAGGAAGTAGTAGGTTGTCACTGGGTGTCTTCCCTTGAAGGGTATATTTGGCCCCCTGACCCTTCCTCTTTTGCTCTGTTTCTGCTTCCCGGCCACCTGAAATGCACAACCTCCTCCACCACACACTTGTACCACCACCATGATGTTCTGCCTTACCATAGGCCCAAAAGTGAGTGGACCAACCATAGACAGAAACCTCTACAACCATGAGCTCAAATAAATCTTTCAAGTTGATTTTCTCAGGTATTTTGTCACAATAACAGAAAGCTAACACAAGCACCACCAGTCACTTGAGAAGAGTTCATATACAATATATTTCACTCTTTAAAAATAAAACTTTCAGAATAGCTAACATCTATATATACTAAAAAAATAAAAATCTTCATATAAATAATTTATGTAGTAGGAGGTGTGCAGGAATGCAGAGGAGCCTACCCAGGAGTCAACAAGCAGTGAGGCACGACTAGCAAAGTGTGCTTGAGGATCCCTCAGGCTTGGTCTAGTGGGAAGGCAGCAGTGTGCAGGAGGGGGACAGGGCTGCACTGCAGCCGAAAATGCTGGCTTTCCTTTCCACGTGGCAGCCATGGATACAGAAGAGCACTGGTTGCTGGGCTGCTGTCAGGGGTGGCCATTCTATGTGGATACCAGGGAGGTCTGTGATGGCTGATCCAGAGGAGGGGTGCAGACAGCAGTGGCTGGGCCCTCCAGGGTATTGAATGCATTTTAGCTGCATTCAATACCCCAGCGGTTGCTTCCCAGTGACTTCATGTGGCCCAAGCAGGGTCTTTGTCCTTCAGCTCCTTCTTCACTCAGTAGCAGAGCTGTTGGCAGCTGGGGTGGCAGCAGGAGACCATGTGGGCTCAGCAGAGGCTGGGTGGATGTAGGCACCAGGTAGTGGGGGTGAGTGCAAGGCCACAGTCATGGAGGTAGTCACTCTGGCAAAGCTCTGTGGTAGGGTGGGGGTCATCCCCCATCTGAGCGTGCCTCCCCTTGGAGTTGTAGGGCTCAGGACCTGTGGGCTCTCCTTGTACATCTGCACCACCTGTAGGGAAGACACCAATAGCAATGAGCCCATGGGTACTGGGACTTCAGAATCCTCTGCACCTATCTGGTGATCAGCATGATCATTGGTAAGCTGGGTCCTCGTTGGCCTCTAGTAGATTATGAGAGCTCACAAGTGACAAGTTATTAAGGCCTGGGGCAAACTCTGCACCTTCTTCTGGATCCTAGGAAGGAGTATGGTGTTAGGGGAAAGGTAGACGCTACTACCATTTTAGCTGGTGGCACATTTTAGGAGGGCCCTTGTGAGTTGGGCCCTGTCTATTGACTTTTTTTGGGCGGGTATTGGGGATTGAACTCAGGGCACTCAACTACTGGAGCCACATCCCAGCCCTATTTTGTATTTTGTTGGGAGAGGGTCTCACTGAGTTGCTTTGCACCTCACTTTTGCTGAGGCTGGCTTTGAACTCATGATCCTCCTGCCTCAGCCTCTCTAGCTGCTGGGATTACAGGCGTGCAACACCATGCCTGGCCCAGTTTGTTGACTTCTGAGGATATTTAGTAATTTGCCCCTTCTTATGCTTGTCCCTACCCTGTCTCTGGCGCTGGGAGCAAAGGAAGGGAGTGGTCACCTCTGGTGGGGGTCCTAGGATGGACAGCAGCACAGGCAGCAGCACGAGCCCATGGAGGAGGCCCAAGAGTGTGAGCACTGTCAGCACCACGAAGAAGTACCTGGGGGAGGTAAGGAGTCAGCAGGGCAGGCCCTGAGACCATCACAGGCAAATCCCACCTCCTTCAGAGCCCAACAGTACCTTACAATGAAGTCAAAGTTGGAACCAGCAAGCATGAGCAAGCCCAGCAAAGTGGAGACAGCCCCATCAGTCACAGGGGCAAATGTGTGCTCAAGGGCACGGGCAGCCCGCAGGTTCCGGCTACCCTGGGCGGTCAGGAAACCCTGGGGGAACAGAGTGGTCTTGGAGCTCCTCCTCTGCCAACTATGGCTAGCTCACCCATGTCCCCAACTGCTACTTATATGGCCTCAGGGTTCACCTATGCCTTTGCCCTCTGAAGATCATGTGAACTGCGTTCATGGAAATGGTCTGGAAGCATGCATGAGTCCATTTAGGTGACGCTGTATAGATGTGTCTGGTGACACAGAAAGATGTCCAAAACAGAGTGGACAAAGTACAGTCTGTCACTGTGTCTTGTAAATTAAGTTCATCAATATATTGTTGTCTATGGCTGCGTTTGTACTATGATGGCAGAATTTCAACAGATTCTCTATGGCCCATTAAGTTGAAATATTTACTAACTGGCCCTTTACAGAAAAATTTTGGCAACCCTTGGTTGAAAAGAATGGGCACTGAGGTGGTAAGTCATTTCTTAGGGTGGCATTTCACAGGATTTCAAATTCTTTTTTTGTATTGTTCCACACACTAGCTTTTCAGGGGGTTACTGGAGACTGAACCCAAGGCCACATCTGTGCTAGGCAAGCATTCAACCACTGAACCACATCCCCTGCCCTTTTGTTGTCCTGTTCAAGGAACATATATCATTTTTATAATCAGAGTAATAATAGGGTTATGTGTGGGTAAAACACAGGAGTTGTTTGTGGGGCCTGGTTGGTTTGTGTTGGTGTTTCTACTTGGTTTGAGCCCCATTCTTCTGTCAGAGAACACACAACTTTGAGGGAGGCCTGTGCCCTCCTTGTTTCTAGCATTTATGTCCCCGCTCCCATGCTGCTTCTTGTGGTGCTGGGGAATGAACACAGGGTCTCCTGTGCTCTAGGCAAGTGCTCTACCCATAAGCTGCATCTCTAGCCCTTTTCATTTTTTGAGAAAAGGTCTTGCTAAGTTGCCCAGGCTGGCTTTGAACTTTCAATCCTCTTGCCTTGGCCTCCCAAGTAGGTGGGATTACAAGCTTGTGCCACCTTGCCTGGCCCAGCTCCAGTTTCTAAATAGTGCCTCTCACAGAGGTGCTTGAAACATATTTGTTGAATACTAAGTCAGCGGCCCAACCCTCCCCCAGTGCCTGTGCTCACCAGAGCCACGTGGACTGTGAACTCGACACCAATTCCTATAGAGGCCACGAGGATCACCACGGGGATGGCACTCAGCTTGATGCCCAGGAAACCCATGATACCAAAGAGTTCCACAGTCATCATTGCCAGGACCAGCACCTGGGGAGGAGAGGGCTCATTGGGGGCTCCTGGCAGGAGGAATGTCAGGCTGGACAGGACAGGGTGAGTTGCCACTGAGTCTCTCTGACCCCACCCCTGCAGGTACTCACTATGAGGCCAGCTGTCCAGGGGTTGAGTAGCAGCAGGGCACAGACCAGGAAGGTGCACACCAGCAGGATACAGACAGCCAGCAGGAAGCAGCGCCGCAGGCCCAGGTACTGCTCCCAGAAGAGGAAAGGGGAGCCGCTGGGGTAGGCACGTACCCCTGCTTGGCCTGCCTCAGTGCATGCTGCCCGGGCCCCCTCGATGGCCTCTACAAAGTCTGCAGTCTTCTGGAGGCCACGCAGTAGGAATGGGAACTGGGCAAACTCCAGGGGCTGGGCTGCTGGGACTGTGGAGGGGAGGAGAGAGTGGGCAGAGGGAGGCAGACGGTGAGCACAGGAACAGTGGGCAGGGCTTAGGGTCAGGGCCACGGCTCTAGGTGAGCTCCCCCCAGGACTCACTGCGAAGGTTCTCCCCAGTGGTGTCATATTTGTCATGTAGCCATTCAGGAGGTGGGGGGTAGAAGTTGGCCTGTGAGGCTGCCAGACCCAGGGGGTCACTGCTCACCCACACAGTTAACCCCATGTAGAAAAGCTCCGGTGGAATCAGTCCGTCCTTGTCCACCAGCCTTCTTGTAGTCAGCTGTAGAGGCAGAGAGGGCTGAAGGCCTTGGCCATGTGATCTAGAGCCCCTCTGTGCTCCCTGACTATTCTAGCCCTCTTCTAACCTGGCTGAAATCCAGAGGCTCCTGGGCATTCCCAGTCTGGATGAGCAGCTTGTAGGCCAGGGCCCCATCCTCAGAGCCATTGCGGTATGAATGGTAGGTAATGCGCCCGGAAGCCCAGTCCTGATCAAATGCAGCCTGGATTCCTAGGGAATAGGTTAGGGCACAATTAGCCTGTGGCCAGAGGGTGCTTTTCCCTGTAGCAACACTCCCAGCCAATCCCCTGGCCTCTCACCCTGTAGCCAGTTGCGGTAATAGTGCAGCCAGGTGCGGGGTGCCTGGGTGGCAGGCGGGGGCAGCACAGCCTTGAGGGAACTGAAGCGCTGGTGCAGATCAAAGAGGGCACGTTGGGAGTGAGCGTAGTCAAAGCCACCCTGGGTCACCAGGGCCACCTCATACAGGGAGAAGTACCTGAGCTGGGCGCTCAGGAAGGCATGTTCTTTGGTGCCCCGAGGCACCACGTCTGTCAGGGCCAGCCCGTCCTGCACCAAGGTGGCTCCATAGAGGCTCAGGCCCAGAAGAGCCCCAAAGAACATCAGCACTATGGCCTGTGGGAAACAGCAACTAAGCCAGGGGCCTAGGGCTATCCTCCCGTCCTCAGGTAGTAGGCCATGCCCTCTGCCCTTCTTGGGGCCCACAAATACTGAGCCTCTGGCCTCCCCCACCCAGTCTCACCTTGGCATGTGACTGGAGCAGCAGAGGTGCAAACTGATAGCGGGCGAAATGGGCAAGATTCCAGCGGGCACAAGGGAGGGACTTGCGGGCTGCCTTTGGCCCAATTCCCTCCTCTTGGCCTAGAAGGTCCCGTGTGGACCCCACGGGGCTGAAGAGCTCAGAGCTCAGTGGGTCAGAAGGTGGGGGTACCAGCTGGGCTTGGGGAGGCAGGATGGTGACCACATGCTGGCTGCTGGCTTCACAGTGGGTGAAAGCTTGTACCGTGGTGGTCAGGTGGGCAATGCCCACTGGCACTGTCCTATCTCCCAGCTCCTGGGGCAGAATCTGAATTACTCGAGCAGAACAGGGGCTAGAAGAGGCAGAGAGTGTGGATGACAGGTTGGTCCCTGCCTTGAAATGCCTATGAGGGGACAAGCCGGGGTGGGTTCATGGGAGGAGAGGGGTGGACACACAGGGACAGTACCTAGAGAAGCAGCAGAGCACATCAAGGCGCTGGCAGTGGCGCCGATGCAGGTCCAGGCTGAGGACAGCTGGGAAGACAAGCATCACAGCTGCGAAGTTGCAGCCCACTACTATGGCAGCCTGCGGGTGGGCAGGAGGGCACGAAGGCTCGATGAAGCACACCTCAGGCCCCATACCCACCCCAGTCTAACTGCCTGTTTATGATGGCTCACCTGCAGGGAGAAGGCTCGCAGTGCAGGGATGGGAACTAGGGCAGCCATGAAGAAAGCAACCATGTTGTTGATGGACGTGAGGGCAACACTGGTGCCTGTGCGCTGCAGACACTCGCCCATGCGCTCCTGCCAGGATACAGCAGGGACATGCCCTCAGGTCATGGGGAGGAGGGAACCATGGCTTTTGTGTGTGTGTGTGTGTTTCTTTATTCCTTGGTATTGGGGATTGGAGATTGAAGCCAGAAGCGCTTAAACACTGAGTCACATCCCCAGCCCTTTTTTTCTTGAGACAAGGTCTCACTTAAGTTGCTTTGGGCCTTGCTAAGTTGCTGTGGCTGGCTTTGAACTTGCCATCCTCCTGCCTCAGCCTCCTGAGCCACTGGGATTACAGGTGTGTGCTACCATGCCTGATAGACCATGGTCTTTAAGGGAGAGTGAAAGGGAGTCTCCAGAACTGGGATGGTAGAAGTGGGGCAAAAACACCACAGTGGCTAATATTTACTGAGTGCTACGTATGCGTGATGTGATATTCTGTACACTCACCCTGAATTATCTCACTGATCCTTACGACAAACCTTAGGACACAAGCACTATTATTACCCTTATTCACAGATGGGAATGCTGAAGCACAAAGAAGTTAATTGGTTGCCAATGTCACTTAAACCTAGAGATGCTCTCTCTCTCTCTCTCCTCTCTCTCTTTTTACTCTATTTATTTTTGGTACTGGGGATTAAACTCAGGGGCACTCAACCACTAAGTCACATCTCCAGCCCCCCCCAATTTAGAAATATTTTTAGTTGTAGATGAACACAATACCCTTATTTTGCTTATTGCTAGGCAAGTGCTCTACCCAGCCCACTTTTGTATTTTTTTTTGGTACCAGGGATTGACCTCAGGGGCTCTCGGCCACTGAGCCACATCCCTAGCCCTATTTGTATTTTATTTAGAAACAAGGTCTCACTGAGTTGCTTAGTGCTTGGCTTTTGCTGAGGCTGGCCTTGAACTCATGATTCTCTTGCCTCAGCCTCCCGAGCTGCTGGGATTACAGGTGTGCACCACTATGGGTGGCCAAACCCAGAGACTCTTAACCAGTATGCTGAACTACCTCAGGTGAGGCTGGGCTAAAGGATGGGGACTTACCTGGAGAGGGGTACCAGAAGGAGCCTCTGTAAAGGCATGAGCAAGCAGGAAAACGTCATCCACACCAATGCCTAGTGCCAAGAAGGGTAGCACCTGGAGGAGTAGAGGGGTGAGCAACTGGAAGAACTGTACAGCCTGGTGATGGCCCTAGATCAGCCCTGCAGAACTGGTGTACCTGAGTAGTGGCAGCATTGAAGGTGATGCCAAGCAGGGAGCAGAGCCCAAGGCCAGAGGCCACTGCTAGAGCCACCAGCAATACCCCAGCAAGGCCCACGGCACCCTGGGACTGGGCACAGTCCCACCGTAGCATGGTTACGCAGGCATATGCTAGCTGTGGGGAGAAAGGGCACAGTCTCAGAGAGGGGCTTCCATGGTGGGTGCTGGGTGGAGGTGGGGCAAGGTGCTAGGGCAGGACCCACCATCAGCAGATAGCCTCCCACCACACGGGCTGTGCTGACTTCGGAGAATGCGTGCAGGATGTCGTCCAGGGTGGTAGGAGAGAAGGCATGGATCTGTTGAGATGCATTCTCAGGCAGGGCCTCCTGGGCCAGCTGGAGAGACAGGGTGGATCTGAAGTGCAGGGGAAGAGGGAGTGGCCTCAGGGCACCCTGCCTCGTCCTTGTCCATGTTTACCTGCACAAAGCGCCGTTGCCAGGTTTGCAGCACAGTGCTGGCCTGTTCCTCACTCCAGCCAATGTCATGTGTCTGATAGTCGCCCCGGAAGTGTTCAAACAGCTGGCGGGGGCTCATCAGCAGGAAGGTGCTCTGCAGAGCCTCTGCCCTGGTGGAGGTGCAGGAGAACTAGAGGTCAGAGGTGGCCCAAACAACTGGTGGGGGAATGCAGCAGGCTTTTGCCAGAGCTGCCTGCTATAGAGTGGATTCCCAAGCAAGGGGTCTGTCACCAATTCCCAGGGGAGGAGGCCCTACCTCAGCAGCTGTCCTTGGGCGTCTCTGACCATGCCTCCCAGCAGCAATTCCTCCTGCCAATGCATGAATTTGTGGGAGAAGCCGTGGCAACCCCCACTGAGCTCCTGAGCCACATTGGGAGCCTGGAGGGGGAAAAGGGAAGGGTGTACTGCTCAAGACCCTGCTGGTGGATCACTGTGTCCCTGGGCTCATACCTCCAGGAACCATGCCTGCCACAGAGCTTAGCAGGTCTGGAGTGTAGGTAACTGGTCTCTTGAATCCCTTCCTGCTCTGTGAGTGAACAGCTAGGTGTCCTGTAAGCAGGAGGCCACAAGAGGGAGCAGAATCCTGAACATAAGCTGCAGGGAGAGGATGGGAAAACTATGCAGGGAGGTTGAGAAAAGTACCACCCACAGAGCCACACAGACCCATGGGAAAGGAGGTAAAATGTTCATGTTTAGCTATTGTGTTTTTAGTTTCCTTGTATAGACTGTTTTGATAAATCTAGCTTTAGGCTTAAAAAAGGAAGAGGATTCATAGGTCACTTCAGGGTTTCTTAGGAGAAATGAATGGGAATGGAACACTCCAGGGGGTTAGCACAGTGTGGGCAGAGTGGCAACGTCCAGGAAATGGTGGGGGAAGAACACAATCAGCTCTCTTTCAGAACAGAGGGACACATGCCAGAGAGAGAGAGAGGGAAGGGAAAGAGCTTTTCTTTGTCTGGTTGGAGCTCACCTGCCTACTGTGATGGTTGGGGGCACTAGGTGGGCAGTGAAGGTCTTTAGGGTCCAGACAGGGCCGCCCCACATAGGCCTGGCCCACCTGTGCCTTGTCTAGCAGTTGTCGGAAGCCCTCGAGGGAGGCAAAGGGACCCAGTTCCTCCAGCAGTTGCTCTGGGTCCAAGTTGGTCCACTGGATATCAGGGCGGCCCCTGGGGGAGAACTCATGGTTAGCAAGGGTCAGGGATCAATACCCACCATCTGAGCTGCTCCTCTGGACCCATGCTGCACCCCACCCTCCTCTTATGTGCTTATCGGTCCTTCCACGTGGAGGGTGTGCAAGGCTCAGCTTCTCAGAGCAACCAGGTTGCGTCAGCCCACCAGGCTGCTGCAGTGAGCTGAGGATGGATATAAGGAGCTGACAAGGACATCAGGACAGATGTACTTAATACATGGAAAGGGCCCAGAAAAGCACCATGGCATCCATACCAAGCTGCACACCCTTGGTTCTAACATGAAACCAGAGTGGCACCTGTATACAACAGGTTTCTTCTGGCTCAGGCAACAGCTTAGCTGGTGCCTAGCCAACTCCCCCCAGCAAAGTCTCTTTCTGGGGATCTTTTTTCTCCTCTGTTGATCTTGAGATCTATGTTGTTTGTCTAAATGAGACAGGTCTTTCTCTCCTTTAGAGCTGAGGAGAAGGGGGATGTGGAGCCTTAGGCCGTCTGTTTTGGCTCTGGCCTGAGAGGAAATGAAGTCTTGGCGAGATTTTCTTCATCCTCCTTACTCCTGCCCCTCCTTTCTTCTGGGGAAGTCCCTGGCAGGAGATGAAGTGGGACCCCAGGAGCAGCTGTGCCAGCACTCACGGCAAGTAGGCAGAGCCCCCTTGGAGTTTGGCTCCCTCCCAGAAGCAGTCGAGCGGGGTGAGGATCACACACGGAAACAGCTTCTCAATCATCTGCCAGGGATACCACAGGCCACATCAGTCCTTCCCTGGGCTCCTTTCTCCACAACCTGTAAGATACCCTCTGCAATCCTCCCAAGGTTTGTCCCTAACTTCCGCCCCAGCTCTGGTGTCTGCCACAGTGTCTCTTTGGGCCTTCCCACACTATGGAAAATGTCCTGCCTCTGCCTAGTCCATGGAACAGCCCAGAGTACTCACCCGCTCAATCATTCCATTTTCAATGAGGGGAACTCCCGATTTGTAGCAGATTTTGTTCAGATCCCAGGACCTGTATTAGCCAGGGGCACAGGCAATCAGCAGAAAAGGGGAATCCCACTCCAGCACTGTCACAGCACGCTTTACACCCCGCCCCCACCTCCCCTGCCACTCAGGGACTCGGCCAGACTCACTTTCCATAGAGTGATACTTGTACTTTACTGGCAGTGAGGGCTGCCTGGAGGTGGAGGCCAAGCGCCTCAGGCGTGAGGATGTTCTCCCCCTCCTGGCGTGGAGTCTGAATCAACATCTGGGAGGTATACGCCGCCTCCTCTCCCAGCTTCTCCTTGGTATAATGCAACTCTTGGCTCACCCGGCTTCCCACTGCCAGAGCAGAGAGAAAGCTGCAGAAAGGGGTCTTGGAGGTTCCTAACCTCCTAGGGCTCCCAGAAAAGGGGGAGAAACACTGCTGAGGCCCTGGGCCTTCTCCCCATGGCCTTGCTAAGGCCCTGGCTGGCTCCCAAGCTTCTGCCCCTTTTCTGAGTCTGGAGTCCTGCCAGGGAAGTGGGGAGACCTCAGCTGCACAGCTTTATGGATTTCCTGTGTGGTCCAGGGTTTAGACATGAAATAGGTTGGCTGGTTTGGGGCAAAAACTTAAAAATGAGAATCAGCATGAGCTGGGCCAGGTTATAGGAGCATTCTGGTAAGGAACCCTCACTGTCTCTCTCTGCTCTGGTCTGCAGGACAAGGAGGGACAACAGGGGCCAGTAGGGAAGCTGCTAGCAGAGAGGGTTTTCTAAAAGAACAGGTCTCGGGTCAGGGCTTTTCTTCCTTTGGGTTGCCCTGCATGGTGATTTCCACTCACACACCTTTCTACAAACTGCTCTGGAAGGGTCAGGAATGGCAGTGTCTGGTAATGATGGGCCTCACGGTGGCCCAGGCGACAGGGAGGACCAGTCTTTCCGTATGATGCTCCCACCCACTCAGAAAGGAAGTACATGGAAGCAGTTTGTGTGCCCTGGTAGAGGTGAAATCAAAGTGGGCCAAGGAGTCTAGATCCTCTTCACTAGCCTCATCGTACAGACTATGAGTCAGACTTCCTGGTGCCAGACCTGCCTCAGTCTCCTTGATCTTAGCATTCCTCAAGTCCTGTTCTGAATTATGCTGGCAAAGGAGTTATGGTGGGGCCTGGGGAAGGTGGGGACACTGTGAGGGGATATAACCTAACTATGATTTGGAGGAAGATGAGGGCCACAACCTAGGAGTTTTGTGGGCTTGGTCTGGTCTCAGACCTACTTCTGCTTCCACTTGTCTGGGGGTCTCTTCTTTCTGGTTGCTCCTATTCCTGGGACCAATACATGCTGCTTCTCTGAGACTCTAGTCTCATTTAGGATTATCATGGTCCCCAATCTCTAACTCTTTCTCTCTTTTTTCTTTTGAGAGATAGGGTCTCACTATGTTGCCCAGCTGTCTTGATTCCCTGGGCTCAAGCAATTCTTCTGCCTCAGCCTCCCAGGTACTTGGTATTATAGACATGCACCACTCATCTCTAGTTTCCCAATCTCTCTCTCTCTTTTTGGGTGTGGTACCAGGGATTGAGCTCAGGGGTACTCAGCCATTGAGCGACATCTCCAGCCCTATTTTGTATTTTATTTAGAGACACAGTCTTGCTGAGTTGCTTAGTTTTTTGCTTTGTTGAAGCTGGCTTTGAACTTGCAATCCTCCTGCCTCAGCCTTCTGAGCTGCTGGGATTACAGATGTGTGCCACTGTACCCAGCCCCAATCTCTTTTTCAAACCTATATAATCTCCTCACTCAAGTGATTGTATCATTGTGGACCAGACAGAACCATAAGAATGTAAAAGAAAGAAACACTGTCATTTTAAAATATATAGTGAGACCAATGAATTCTTGGTGGGGTGGTGGGTGAGGAAGAGGAAAATATAAACCTCAGCTGACAAGGGATAGATATGAGGACAGATGAACTAGAATGTATTGATCAGAACAAGGATGTATTAAACAGAGCCTTTGTTTTCTTCTGTACATCCATTGTACAGAAGACTTGGTTTTGAGCCCTGGCTCCAACACTTATTCTGTGTCTTGGACAAATTACTTATTCTCTTTGAGTCTCAATTTACTTATCTGCAAAATGGGAACAATGCCTCTCTCTCGGTAAGTTTAGAATCAACACAGGAAAAGCACTTAGGAAATTGCCTGGCTCATGGTAAGTGTAGATGTGGAGTTGTTATTCAATAATTGCCAAAAGTGAAAAAAATTGAGAAAAAACAAGAGAAAAAGAAAAGATTGTGGGTAAGTACGGAGGAAACAGGAGAACAGGGGAAGGAGGATATCAAAATCAATAGTAAGCTTGGTAAAAATTTTTGTACCTTCACCAAAGGGAAAACATAACTGGTTAACCAGCATGGAAAAGGAGTCCATCTGGTAGGTAATCCTATAAGTTTAAAACAGCAACAAGTAATTATCTACCATTTTATATTTTATATATATATATTTTTTTTCCTTGTGGCCCTGGAGATGGATCTCAGGGGTGTTTTGTCACTAAGCTATATTACCAACCCTTTTTTTGTTTTGTTTTGTTTAATTTTTTTTTTTGGGGGGGGGCTGGGGACGTGGCTCAAGCGGTAGCGCGCTCGCCCGGCATGCGTGCGGCCCGGGTTTGATCCTCAGCACCACATACCAACAAAGATGAGAACTAAAAAAAATAAAAATAAATATTAAAAATTCTCTCTTTCTCTCTCCTCTCTCACTCTCTCTTTAAAAAAAATAATAAATTTTTTTTTTAAAGAGAGAGAGAAAGAGAGAATTTTTTATGTGGTGTTGAGGATTGAACCCGGGCCGCACGCATGCCAGGCAAGCGCGCTACCACTTGAGCCACATCCCCAGCCCCGCCAACCCTTTAAAAAAAAAAAAATTGAGCCAGGTGGCACATGTTTGTAATTCCAGCAGCTCTGGAGGTGGAGGCAGGAGGATCGTGAGTTTAAAACCAGTCTTAGCAACATAATGAGGCCCCAAGCAACTCAGCAAGACCCTGTTTCTAAATAAAATACAAAAATGGGCTAGGGACATGGCTCAGTGCCCCTGAGTTCAGTTCCTGGTACAAAAAAAAAAAAAAAAGAAATTAGGACAGGGTCTCACTAAATTGCCAAAGCTGGCCTCAAACTTGCAATCTTCCTGCTTCAGCCTCCCTAGTTCCTGGGAGTACAGGTGTGCACCACTGAAGTCTGCTAAAAATTTTAAAAATGATGGCAATTATTTCTGGCTTATAGGTGTCTACCATGGGAGTATAATTTGGTATCCTATTTGGAGGAAAGTAATATTGCAATATTTATTCTCATAATTTCTGGCCCAGAAATTTCACACGTAAGGGCAGTGAACTGTTGTAGGGACTCAAGACTTTCTTTGAGTGAAATGGGAATCATAGTAGGTTTTGATCAGAGATGTGAGATGATCTGACTTTTTCATCACCTAACAAATAAGAATTGGCCCAGGGAAGAAGTCAGGAAAAGGTGTTCGGGACCCAGAATATTCAGAGAATTATCAAAGGCTTAGAGTTTCTATATTGTTAGGGAGGAGCCGGCGACAATGCTCAAGAGGGCCTAGAATGTGCTATGGGGCTTATATTTGATTCTAGAGACTTTACAGAATCTAATAGAAATTGATGGAAGGACTCTATGCAGGGTGCTGACTTGGTCAGATTTAGACACAACACAAGGGTGGTGTGGAGGCAGATATGAAGGTGAGGTTGACAAATCTTCTACCTTCCTTTCTCTTTCCTTTTCTTTCTTTCTTTTTTGTGTGTGCTAGGGATTGACCTCAAGAATGATTAATCACTGAGTCACATCCCCAGCCCTTTTTATTTTATTTTATTTTGAGACAGGGTCTCACTAGGTTGCTTACTTGCTAAGTTGCTGAGGCTAGCGTGGAACCTGTGTTCCACCTCCTTAGACTCCCAAGCCTCTGGGATTACAGACATGTGCCACCACACCTGGCTGCCTTTCTCCTTTCTAACAGATTGGTTTAACTGGCCATCTCTGAAAGGCCTTTGACTCCTCTCCAGCATCAGAGGGTGAAACCTGGTAGTCTTAGAAGCCAATCACATAATTCTGTTGCCTTTGCCAAATGGAGCATTTAGGCACAGGAAGCTACAGTTTTTGCCAAAGAACCCCAATGGAAGATCAGCTATTGAGGCTTGGGGTAAATTTTCCCCTTACTTTAAAAAGGGATGCAAGAGACTTCCTTTTCTTACACAGCAGAAACCATGTCAGGATAATATTGCCTGAGGACAAAAGTCTAAGGAGCGGAAGACAGCACAGAGAAAGATAGAAAGAACCTGGGTCCTTGCTGATGTCCTTGGGCTGCTGGATTAACCAACCTGGAATTTCTCTACTGCCAGACTTCCTATTAAACGAGGATCAATCTTCTTCCTCTCTCCCTCCTTCCCTCTCACCTGTCTTCCTTTCCTTTCGTTCTTTCATGTGGCTAAAAGTATTCTAAATGACACAACTAGGAGTGTTTTTTGCAGGAGACTGAGAAAGGTCTCAACCAGAGTAGTGACCACAAGGGTAGGAAGGATGGGTTTGTTGTGACAGTGGTTAAAAGGGAAGAATTTTGTAACCAAATCGTGAAATTTAGGTGAGTGAGAACTGATGCAAACTCTCAAGGATTTAGCTGTAGATGCTTGAGTGGATGGATGGTGGTTCTATCAATTGATACATAGGCAGGCCCTGCTTTTGTGAGTAGCTGTATATTCCTTATCCTCTCTCTGCATTTTTTTGGTGCTGGGAATTGAACCCAGGGCCTTATGCATGCAAGGCAAGCACTCTACCAACTGAGCTATATTCTCAGGCCCTTCTTTGCTTTCTTTTGGCAGTGCTGGGGATCTAACACAAGACCTCAAACATACAAAGCAACTGCTCTACCACCGAGTTATACCTCCAGCCCTATTTTTTAATCTTTTTTTTTTAATATTTATGTTTTAGTTGTAGGTAGACATACAATATCTTCATTTCATTTTTGTTTGGTGCTGAGGATCGAACCCAGTGCCTCACACATGCTTGGCGAGCATTTTACCACTGAGCCACAACCCCAGCCCCCTATTTCTTATCTTTAAGAATAGCTCCAATTTCAAACTATCTCTGTCTTATTCCAGTAAATATAATGTGGCCTACATGCTGTGATTTTTTATTTTAGAGAACTATCTTCCTCTGATCCTTTTGGTTTTAAGTTAACCAGGGCTAGGGGTGTATTTAGCATGCACAAGGCCCGGTGGCCATTCTAAAAGAAAAAAAGAAAGAAAGTTGTTCAGGAAAGGCAAACAAGTCAAATTCCAAGTCTCACCATGGCAAAACTGGGGAGAACCTTGAACTCTGATAGCCAATATTCTACTTCTCCCTCTGCTTTTTTTTTTTTTTTAATGAACTCAATCATGATATATATTAGTTGTCAATGGACTTTATATGCAGTGCTGAGAATTGAACCCAGTGCTTCACACATGCTTGGTAAATGCTCCACCTCTGAGCCACAACCCTAGCCCTCCCTCTGTTTTTTATATTAGCCAAATGAGAAAGAACATAAAATATCCTTTAGTCTTCATTTTGATTGGCTCCTCACTGTTTAGGAATTGAAGGAGAAGCCTCAGCTACAGATAAGGAAATGATCACATTATAATCACTGCTTTTACCTCACCCTCAACCAACACAGGACAGAGTGATATCTGTAATAAGGGAAAACAGTTTAAGGCTGGGCATAGCGCTGCATGCCTGTAATCCCAGCTACTTGAGAGGCTGAGGTAGGAGAACTGCAAGTTTGAGGTCAGCCTCAGCAACTTAGCAAGACCCTAAGCAACACAGGGAGACCATGTCTCAAAATAAAAAAAAAATAAAAAGGGCTGGGGAAAAAAAAAGGGTCTAGGAATTGGCTACCATGCTTTTATAAAAACTGGTGGTGTCTATCCCTTCTGTGCTGGAGGGCAGAAGAGAGGATAATGAAACTTGGAAGTTCAAGTAGTGTTTAGATGGAGAAGATCAGGGGAACAGAGAAAGAGGAAGGAAAGGGAAACTGCCTCAGTTGTGGCAGGAAATCCAAGTCATTTGAGACCACCCAGGCAGCAGTGATTTGAGTGGAGGTATGTGTATGTGCATGTGTATCTTAGGGCTGGGGGCAGGCAGGCAGAAAGAAACATCTGCTCTGGACCCCAGGGCTGGCCTAAAGCATGAGTGTATGAGAATCTGCAGAGGAAAGGGGTAGGGTGGGGTGGGGTGTGGGAGACCAACAGGCAGGCAGACTCTAAGAAACATCTGCTCTGGATCCTAGGACTTGCCAGCATTTGAAATAACTCAAGGGTGTGAGACTTCAACCTGGGCCCTGCCCTTGAGCATAGGCCAGGGCTGAGAGAGGTCTAGAGTAGCCCACAAATACAAATTTCCCAGGGAAGAACAGCAAAATTGAACTCTGTAAAAGGGCTGTCCCAAAACAGATCTCATGCTAAAAATATTAATAAGAAGGTACTTTTACTAATGCTTCCATTAGAAAGTGAGGATTTGATCCCATCTAACCTCAAAGTGTAGAGTCTGCGCTGCTTCTCCACTTACTAGTTGCAGGATCCCTGGGTGCATGACCCCTTTCCCCAGAGGCTTGCCAGATGGTTTATTCAGTTTGCCAGACTTCTGGTCCAAAATTTTCTTTCTTTATCTCTTTCTTTTTTTGTGACAGGGTCTCATTATGTTCCCTTGAGTGGCCTTGAATTTCTGGGCTTAAGCAATCTTCCTGCCTCAGCATCTTGAGTAGCTGGAACTAAAGTCCTAACTTTCCTAGTCAGAAGTCACCTCTCTCTGCTTTGTGTGTTTGTTTGTTTTTGGCTGTGCTGGGGACTGAACCCTGGCCTAGCATGCTGGGAAAGTGCTCTACTACTGATCTGCATTCTCAGACCTTTTTTAAAATTTTATTTTGAGACAGGGTATTACCAAATTGCTCAGGTGGCCTCAGACTCCCAAGTTGCTAGGATTATAGGTGTGTGCCACCATGCCTGGCTTCTCTGCCTTCTCTTACACATCATAATCATATCTTACTTTTATTACATAGTTATCCTAGCACATATTTTATTTTCCTTGATACTGAAAGATGGGTCTTATTCTAGTTGCTGTTATACCATAAAAATATACACAGAGAAGGTTGATAAAAAAATGCTAAATAAATACATATAATCTCAGATAAACGAATTCAACATACACATTAAAGGATGCTATCATCTGTAGATTATGGTACAGGTGCTCCAACATGCCCAGGTGTACAGATTCTGGGCCATAGATTCCCCTCTAGATCTTTGGCCAGGCCTGCTAGGGCTCAGTGGCCAGCTCCTTGCCCTGTTCTTGTCCTGGGCTTAACGTGCCCAAGCAGCTACAGCTGCAGTGTCCATAACTCACCTTCCACCCAGAGCTGTTCTAGGTCTGTCTCAATAACAGCCACGCGGAGACCCAGTGCCAGGGCCCCAAAGGCCAACAATCCTAGGAAGAGCACTTTGCCACAGTGTTTCTGGATCCCACAGCCCAGAGAGAAGAGCAGGCCCTGGAAGTAAGCACGAAGCCAGAGTGGAGCCTTCAGGCTCCCAGCTAGGATCTGGGACAGAAAGAGAAGGGTCAGTCAGGTGTCACTGTAACAGCAAGAAAGCCTTCCCTTCTCTCCCTGTATACACCCTCTGCCAAAAGCCCATGCTTCTTGATGTAGTTCAGGGAGCACCTGCAGACATAGGCTTATATTGTAAGATTTAACGCTATTCCACTCTACCTTCCCACAACACCTGAGGAAGGCACAGACCCATTTTCTGAAAATAGGACACACACACACACACACACACACACACACACACACACCCCTGCTGTCATGTGGACACTGAGGTTAAACCCACACATACATACAACTTGCACAGCTATGCTAGCTCTCACCTGTCTTCAAACAGGAACACCAAACTACACATTTAAAGCCATCACACCCTGCAGAGGCCCTGGTGACATAAGACCCCACCCTTCCTTCTTCGTTTCCCCTCTACTCACCTGAGGTGTTGCGGGTCGAGCCGGGGGAGTGTAGCCAGGTGGCAGTTCTCGGGGAGGCAGTGGCTGAGCCATGCTGGCGGGGATAGGGGGCGCGGACGCCCCCAACCTGTGTTATTTCGGCGCTCCCATAGGCTAGCCTGGCCCCCTGTACCGCGAGACCCCTTGGGTCTTCAGTGGGGCCGCGAGGGCGTAGGCGTGGGTGACACTGTGGGGTGCAAGATGTGCAGGGGCGGCTATGAGAGGGGGAGCGGGGGGCTGTGCGGGCCTGGGGCGCGGCGAGAAGGCACTCTGGACCGCTGAAGTGGGTTCGCGTGTAGGTGGAACTGGCGGGCCTCTGAGATGCACCCCGCAGCTCTAGGTGGCGACTGCAGTGCCGGGAAGGCGGCTGGAGTCTCAGAAAAAGGGAGCGGGCCGGGGCGACGCCCTCCCATTGGCTGAGGGGCAGGCAAATCACCCGGAGCGGAGCAGCCGGATCCGCTGCTAGGTAACGGCGCCGCAGGGGGCGGGGCAGGAGACCACCCAGGCAGGGCCACCCCAGGCCTTGCCGCGCCCGCCCGCGGGGCCCTCGGGGAGGAGAAGGGAGGGAGACCCGGGAGCGGGTAAGCTAAATTCTGGAGAGGCGGGGGCTGAGAAAGAGCGTCTGCTGGCCCGGTTAGGACCACACTTTCTTCCCGTTCCGGCCAAACCCCAAAGACTTCTTTTCATTCTTACCAGCTTTCGTTCTTGCTCCCTTCAGTACACCCGCCACGGAAGCCGGAGACATTTAAAATGCAAATTTGATGACAGCTCCAAAAGCGTAAGGTCTGCTTGAAGCACAGGGCCCTGTGTACATTATAGCTGTTTTTTTTTTTTTTCTTCATAGGTGCTACCTCTCACCCATCCAATGTTCTCTCTAGTTCTGAAAAGTCACCTATAATTTCCTAAACACATCATGATGTTCCAAGCGTTCTTGCCTTCGTACATGTGGTCCTTATGTCTTGGCAGATTATCTTCAAAACAACTTGAATCAATTAACCTCTCTTTGAAGCCTTCCTTGTCACATCTCCTGGCAGATAATTGCTTCTTTATGTTCCTCATAACACTCAATGTATATGTGTCATTGCATTTATGATGAAATATTTTATGTACAGTACTTGAAAGTCTGCTTTCCTCACTAGACAGTAAATAGGTGCTCAATAATCATTGCATGAATCATTGAGAGTTGAATAAACCAGGGTGTCAAGGACTGGAAACAGGGGAAGAGGAAGTATTTCCTCTAACTATCTCATCTCAGTGTGCTGTTTCTGTTGGGTTCCTGACCAATTAACCCTGAGTGGCAAAGTAGAATAAAAATCAATATTCCAATATGTAAAGTTTGGGAAAGAGAAAAAAATCTGTAATAAATTCATTATTCTACACAAGTACTATTATCTCTAGCCAAGTTCTTGGTCAATTCTTCCAGACTTTTTTTTTTTAAATATATTTCTTTATTTTATTTTTATGTGGTGCTGAGGATCCGACCAGCGCCTAACGCATGCCAGGCGAGCACGCTACTACTTGAGCCATATCCCCAGTCCCCAGACTTTTTTTTTTTATCATTACATCATAAACATTTCATGTCACTACACTGTCATTGTAACAATCATTTGCAGAATGTCCTGAGGACATATACCCAGAAATAAGGTTGTTTGGGTCAAAAAAGTATGAACGTTTTCATGATCTTGCTGTATACTGCCAATCTATTTTTTGGAAATTTGTATGAACCTCTTCTGAACCTCAGTTCTAGGGAAAGAGAAACTTCAGGTCGAGGGGGTGAATACCTAACAAATTTGCTGCTTCCATTTGTCCATTGATCCAGCAAAATGAGGAGGAACTATTGTCTACAATACTGTTGGCCAAGTGGTAACTGAATATGTGCACAGTATTTTCTTCCTCCCTGTCATAGAGGAGTGGGTCCCACTCTATACTCCTAGCAAATTTCTGGAAACAGAAACAGTCTAAACTAGGCTATAGGTCCCTACATTGCCTTGGGGGTGTAGTTAGACAGTGAATGGCCTAAGATTAGCAATGGATGTCACTAGGACTTAGAGAAGACCGACTTTACTTTAAGCAGCTCTTAAGATCTTCCTTCTTACCAGACTCTGCAAGACATAAAGTCCATGGAGAAATAGATTTGAAACACCTGGGCCTTGGAACTTATTCTGCTTCTACCACTAACAATTGTGGCAAAGTCCAGCATTTCTTTTTTTAATTTTCTTTTTTATTTCTTATATACATGACAATAGTGGAGTATTAAATTCATAATTATCCATTCACAGCACCATTTTTTTGTAACTCTGTATATAAAGAAAGTCCAGCATTTTAATGGATGTTTCCAAGGCAGGGCCTGCCTACTGAGAAAATCTCTTGCCAATCAGTCCAAAGAATAATGTGAGACAAGTAGGTCTGCAGTTCCAACCTCAGTAGAGCTTAGTCCCTTCTGGCTGTGGCAAGCTCCAAAATAACCTTTCTTTCTCTCAACAAAATGATTTCCTGAATGCAGCTGAGCTCAGGTACAGCTAAAGCCAGAGTCCCCAGGTAAATAACAGGAGGAATAAAGAAGCTCCTCTTTCCCCTCTGCAAGCAACCTGCTTCCCATTGAGTGGGCTTACTTCACTGTCACTTCCACTGGATGAGGATATGTGTGTCTTGGGCCCAAACCAGAGGCAGTTTCTGAAGAATAACAAAGGATAGAAGCAATTTAATCAAATTATTTATTTATTACCGAGGATTAAATTTAATTATTGATTCATTCGACAAATAAGTCTTGGGGTCTTTCATGTGTCTAAACCCTTTGTGGAGGTCTAGAGGTTGTAGGGTACCTGTTTCATTTTTTAAAATCTTTAAAAATGGAGTTTAGGTTGAGGGGAGAACAGAGACCAAGAGGGGAACCACTGTATGCTGAGGTACTGAGGAAGTTTTCCAGAAGTGAGAAAAACTTCAGGAAAGGTGGGAGATGACAGAATCTAAAAGGAAAAAACATGGTTCAAGGTCTGAATCTTTCATTTACTGGCTGTGAGATCTTGGGAAAGTAACATTATCTATGACACTGACATAAGGATTAAGTGAGACAAGATATATGGCCAAAGACAAGTGACAGGAAAAATGAGGTGGAGTACACTCTCACATGCAGTATTGAGGAAAGTGACCAGTCTGGCTTTAGGGGAAGGTCCGTGTGGGGATTACAGAGAGCCAGGGCAGGACTTCATTCCTTGGCATTCCCCCAGGTTTCTCATTTATCCTGTTTTTGGTGGCTTCTGTTATCTGGGACAGGCAGAGTGGATGAGCCTGATATATAGAGGAGGAAAGCAGTGGCTCTGGGCTACGCCCAAACCCACCCATTACATTAGGGGCCAAGCCTGGGAATACATGCCCACTCCCTTCAAGACAATAGCATCTATCAAATCTTGGGTGCCAGAGGTTAATAAAGAGATCAGCAAATGACCCTTCACTTTGAGTATGGGGGAGAGAGGTGATGAGCCAAAGCATCAACTCCTCATTTTCCACGGAAGAACCCTGATGCAATCCCTCTGGGTGGTGGAAGATAGTTCAGGCCAAGGACAAGTCATCCTGGCCTCTAATAGAATGTGTTCTCTGCCCAGCCTCTTTCCCTCCTAGCCAGCTTCATCATAGCTAAGCTTTCTAGACCTTCTTTCTGGGTGGTCTTTCCTGTACCTCTCCCTCTCCCTCAGACACATTTAACTATTTAGTGTTTTAGTTTGTTTTGTTTGAGCTGGGGTGGAGGTCTTAGCTAAGGTCTTCAGTCTAGTCTTCAACTCCTAGGCTCAAGTGATCCTTCTGCCTCAGCTTCCCAAGTGCTGGAAGCTGCATGCCAGGTTTACATTTAACTACTTAGAAGACAGCACACAAAGCTCTGATTATGTAATTTCTTAGGGAAGATGATGGCTATGGACAAATAAAGTATACCCTGTAACTGTCCTGAAATAGAAACAGCCTCTAAATTAAGCTATGCAAGTCCCTAGATTGATCTTGGGGCTATGCTAAACACAATAGGCCTTCCTCTCTACCTGGGATGCATTGAAGGGATGGGGATGCATTGAAGGACTGGGAAGTTCAGCCTCTGGCCTTCGAAAAAAATCTGGAGAGCAATAGCTGCATCAGTCTCCTTATAGGCTCAGGAATCTCTTGCCAGCAGGCAGGGATGAGGTTTTAAGGGGGAGAGAATTCCTGCAGTAGTAGCCACACATTTTGTCTGTTGGCAAGTTCTCAGGACTGTTTCTCAGCACCTCTTCAGAGTACTCCCTGAGTACTGAAGGCCCCCTTGATCCTTTTTTCCTCCACTTCCTTCATCAAGCATCGCTGGGAGAGGCAGGGCAGACCCTATCAACTCTTCTACCTGCCTGGCTAGCCAGCCAGTGAACATTCAGTTGCTCCCTATATTACAGACACAACCTCTCTGAGGCTGCTACCAAAAGGAAACAAAAATCCCTGTCTGCAGCAGACAAGCAGAGCAAAAAGAAGAAAAATCAAAGCATCCTGGAGTTGTCAGGGAATGTGTGTCCTGAGTTGGGGGCTGCTCCCAGCTGGGACTCAGACTCGGTGAGGCCTTCCTCTGGGACTCTTAACCTTCTCTGCTCCAGTTCCCTTATTTCCTTGGTGCTGACCGCTTGATGGAATTGTGCAATAGGAAGGCAGGGGAAAGGTGTTTATCTACCTCCCTGTCAGGGGTTCAAAGGGATCAGTGGGGAAGGACAGAAAGGGGCATAGCAGGGCTCTGGGACAGTTCTTCTACCCTACTCTTCCTCCAAACCTATCCAGCTCCACCCCCTTTCTGTGATCAAGGAGAAGTTTTCTGACCTCTTGGGCTTCCCAGACCCTAATAGTCAGAAAGATCTGAGAAAGGAGACAAAACCCAAGAATAGGAAGGGCCTTCCCATTGCACATCTCTCCTTTTATAGATGGGGAAACTCAGGGTCAAAAGAAAGGCAGTGATGTAGCTAAAATCAAAAACATTACAAAGGCCAAGTCTTCTTCCACCCAGTCCAGGACTCTTGTCTTCAGCACCATCAGGGCCAACAAATTTCATTTCAGTTCCAAAAGTGACCATTTTGGGCACCACTACAGCTCTTTATCCCGATATCTCCCTTAGTCCTACTGGTTTTAGCCACTTCTGCTAGGCCATTTAAGCTCCTGTCTGATTAGGGCAATCTTTCAGGAACCTTGTCTTAACCAGGGAGAGGAATGTGCAGCTCTAGAGCTCCCAAGGAGGCTGATGGAGGTGGAGCTCCCCCAGGGTAGGAATGCTGGTCTCTCACAAGTTCAATGAGAAACAATACTAAGACCCGGCAAGATTACTCAAGTGAACTTGAGAGCCTTGAGATTTTTTAAGTAATGTAGAAACCAGTATTTCAAATCATTCTTTATAATTACTGCCACCCACAGTGAGGACATCAAGAGAAATCTTTACTTTGATAATTCTAGGAGGTGAAATATCACCCGAGGAGCCACTTTTATCTTCCACCAAACACCTGCAGGTTGTAAAAGCAGTGCAGGGAGAGACAAGAGCAGAGTGTACCTATGTTTGGGAGCAGGACTGGCTGATAGAAGTGTGGCTTAGACTTCAGAGGGCTATGAATATAGAAATCACATTTCTTCAGTATCTGAGGCAGGAATGTCTATATAATTAGGACATAAAGAAGTGCAGCTAGAGATCAGGCAGGGAGAATTTCAAACCATGATATTAGTTACAGGCTCTTCCTTACCAGGCTGAGCAGACCTCACCAATGGGAGGTGAAAAGGGATCTGGCTTGGCTCATATCATGGATGTCCATGCTTCTGCTTCCATGACAACCACTGGGTATAGGCTGGCTGTCTAGGCAATGTCTGCTCTCCTTCTTGCTTTAAGAGCCTCCAAGAAACAATGGTTGAGGCTGGGAGGGTTGGAGTGAATGAATGGGGGTGAGCAGGGTGGTGGCAGATGCTGGGAATCTGTGTGGCAGGTATTGAAGCAAGACAGTAAGTCCTAGACTGATGGTCAGGGGAGGTACTGCCATCCACTAAGCCTATGGGTCTAGAAAGAGTGATTAGGGTCAGAGACTGAAGTAGTTCCATCTCTTTTTAGGTGGAAGTTGCTTTATGGACTGGGCTGGGTTGGCCAGTCAGAAAGTTGCACTAATAGGAGCTTTTTTACTGGACAGGTGATAGTCTAGTCTGATAACTTTGGTACAAGAGTTAGGCTACTGTGGCTATTCTATTCACACACTTTGTCTAGATGGTGTTTAAACATGACCCACGAACTCGCACTGTGAATACCTGGAGACAACATGACACAGAGCCTAGGACTGCTCCACAACTCTCCAGCATGTCTTTGGAAGCCTTTCTTTATTAGGAAATAAATACAAAGTCAAACAGGTGGGCCAGCCAACATCTGGAGTTTTGGGGGCCAAAAGGAAGAAATTTAACTTGCTCAGAACTCAGATTTCCATTAGCTGGTCATTCCCCACGATCACCTCGTTCATTCGTTTAGCTACAAAAGAAAAGGAAAGGATTTTCTGAGAACTGGCAGCAGAAGATGTCATTTTAAATCCAATTGTTTCTAATTTTGTGTTCACAAACATTTGATTGTGGTTCTGTTCTTGAGAAGCTCTTAGAACTGCAACATGCCAAAGGGGCTATAAAAGAGATAGCATCTTCCCACACAGAAGGATGGGACTAACTATATACCTGCCTTTGGGAAGCATAAGTAGGAGACCTAGAACTGGATCTTAAAGGATGAATAAAGGTTTTTCAGGCAGTAGTCAAAGGGAAGATATTCTAGACTGTTGGAACTGCATAGGCAAAGACATAGGAATGTGAGAATGGGGAACACAAAATACTGTGGTGTGGTCAGAGAATAGGGAAAATAAGAGGAAAGAAAAGAGAAGAAATGAGGCTAAAATGATACTTCATTCTTCCATGGATGCCTGAAATTGCAGACAGCATCAAATCCTTTATATGTTTTTTCCTATATATATGTGTATATACACAGGATAAAGTTTAATTTAAAAATTAGGCACAGTTAATTAACAATTAACAATAAATTATTTAACAATTAACAATAAAGTGAAACTATTATAATAATAAAGGTATATGAATGTAGCTCTGTTTCAAAATATCTTATTTTACTGTATTCACCCTTTTTCCTAAGATGATATGAGATGATACAATGCATACATGATAGGATGAGTGAGGTGAAAGACACAGGCATTGTGCTATAGCATTAGGCTACTTGGTAAGTACAACTTGAATACAAGCACCGAAATACCCTGAGAGTGGATTTGATAACCAAGATGGCTATTACATATGGAGGAGGCACACAGTATTTACAACATAGATATGCTGGACAAAGGGATGATTCTCATCCTGGGTGGGATGGAGTGGGACAGCATGAGATTTCATCATGCTACTCACAGAATGCAATTTAAAACTTTTTTTTTAATATTTATTTTTTAGTTGTAGTTGGACACAATACCTTTATTTATTTATCTTTATTTGGTGTGGAGGATCAAACCCAGTGCTTCGCACGTGCTAGGTGAGCGCTATACCACTAAGCCACAACCCCAGCCCCTTAAAACTTAGGAATTATTTATTTCTGTTTTCCATTTAATATTTTTGGCCTATGATTGGTTGCAGATAACTGAAACTATGGAAAGCAAAGCTGTAGGTAAAGGGGGGCTACTGTAATACCATCTTCTGAAGAGAGCTGTTGAAAAAAGTCAATGAGTTAGCTGGGAATGTTGGTGGAAACCTGTAATACCAGTGACTTGGGAGATTGAGGCAGGAGGATCACAAGTTTGAGGCTAGCCTCAACAACTTGACAAGGCCCTGCCTCAAAATAAAAAAATTAAAAAGGCTGGGATGTGACTTAGTAGTTAAGTGCCCCTGGGTTCAATCCCTGGTACCAAAAATAAACAAATAAATGAGTGAGTGAAAAGATCAGTAGAGGAAGGAGAATAGGAGGAGAGAGGAGAAAAGGGAAAGGACGGGGGAATGGGGACTGAAATCAAATTCCACATGCATAAGGTTTTGTCAAAATGAACCCAACTACTATATGGAACTATAATATTCTTAAAAACAAAAAACTCATCAGAATACTGGGTTTGTGTACACCTTCTCTAGAAGATGTTCCTTTTAATCTTTCATAGCCATCTGCTTCCTTTAGTGATAAAGATGGGAAGGAGGCCCAGTTAGTGCTTAGATTGCTAAATTCTTTAGGGCTAGTGAGTAACTATCAGGCTCCACATCCAAGGAAAGACTAAACAAAAAAGAACAAAGAAAATGTTTCTTTGGGCTAGGGTTGTGGCTCAGCGTCAGAGCACTTGCCTTGCTCATGTGAGGCACTGGGTTTGATCCTCAGCACCACATAAAAATAAACAAAATATTGTGTCCACGTATAACTAAAAAAAAAAAAAAAAAAAAAAAAAAAAAAGGGGAGAGAGAAAAAGAAAAAGCTTCTTTGACTAGTTTCCTAGGGTACTTCCCAAAGCTCCTTTTACACTTTATTCTTCTATAAGTCAGACTCATACCTCACATACACTCACATCTAGCTCTTCCTTCATCCAGTCTTCTTATTGGCCAGGGACAATGGACTGTTGTGAAGATGGTTTCAGTCTCAATTCACACTTTTCTTGGACCTCAGTGCTTTAGACCAGAGGTACCTGGCTGGGGCAGACAACATTTTCTTCTCTGCCACACTCTAAGGGACCCCCTTCCTACTCTCCCCTCTTTCCTCTGGTCTATTCTTGGCCTGGATGTCAGATAGGATCTTGCTTACTGGGATTCAGGGGAGAATGTATCTAGAATGCTGGGGGTAGATGTAATTTCATAGTATAAGTTGAGGGAAACCTGCAGATCTAGTTCTGCTTGGCCAGGGTTGGAAGCAGGCTTCAGTAAATACAGTGGTAAAGCTCTAGGCTGGAATTAGGTTGAGAAAAATCCCCAAAGGAATACTAAAAGGAAGGATGGTAAATTGGGGAAAAAATCAATGGGATAGAAAGGAATAATATATCACAAATGAAAAGCTGCACTGTTAGGAAACTAGGAAGGATTTCTGCTAGCCAGGAAGATTTGGCTTATGTCATGTATATATCAAGACCTTGATCTACAATAAGGTCTGCTTTCATGGCTGAAGGACTGATTATGTGATTAATAATGTAGTGATTCAAGTTCCATCATTGACAGAAGAGACTCAGATGAGGCATCCAATTAGTCTTCCAGGTTTTTTTCTTTTTTTGGTGGTGGTGGGGTATTTGGGATTGAAACCAGAAGTACTTTACCTCTGAGCCACATCCTCAGCCCTTTTATTTTTAGATGGCCTTACTAAGTTGCTGAGACTGGCCTTGAACTTGTGATTCTCCTACCTCAGCCTCTCATGTTGCTAGGATTATAGGCAATGTGCCACTAAACTGGGCTACCTTCCAGGTTTTAAATGTTGGTTGTGGCTATCCACTGCTTGAGCTGATAGGATTTTTTGAGAGATAATCACTGAGAGTATTGTGATCGGGTGAGAAAAGCCAGAGTTGTTATAAGAAAGCCTGTGGACTGGGGAAGTAGCTCAGTGGTGGAGTATGTGCTTGGCATGCATGAAGTTATTCAAAAGTGGGGGTGGGATTTGTTCTCTGGGTAGTGTTAAGAAGTGGCAGCAAAGCCTACATCTGGGTTATGAGAGTCACATTTTTGGTGTAAAAAATTGCTATGGATATGACTGTGTTAAAGAATTTGGAAACGGGACAGTATTACCTCTTAGGATGAACATTTTTCCTGTAATTCCTCTATATGAGGAAAATTGGGAACTTTGAAGCTCTTTGTTGGTGAGGATCTGAGTAGATAGTTTTGTCAAGGTCATCCATAGTAACAGTACTTTTTTTAGTGGGGTTGGGGTGGGGTGGGTACTGGAGATAGAACTGAGAGGCACTGGACCACTCAGCCCTATTTTTGTATTTTATTTAGAGACAGGGTCTCACTGAGTTGCTTAGCACCTCGCCATTGCTGAGATTGGCTTTGAACTTGTGATCCTCCTATCTCAGCCTCTTGAGCTGCTGGGATTACAGGCATGTGCCACTGTGCCTGGCTCCCCCTTTTTTAAAAAAATATTTTTTTTAGTTGTCAATGGATCTTTATTTTATTTATTTATATATGGTGCTGAGAATTGAACTCAGGGTCTCACATATGCTAGGCAAGCGCTCTACTATGGAGCTACAACCATAGCCTGATTTCCAGTCCCTTTTATATTTTATTTTGAGGGTCTTGCTGAGGCTAGTTTTGAATTAGTTTTTTTTTTTTAGAGAGAATTTTTTAATATTTATTTTTCAGTACTTGGCGGATACAACATCTTTGTTGGTATGTGGTGCTGAGGATCGAACCCGGGCCGCACGCATGCCAGGCGAGCACGCTACCGCTTGAGCCACATCCCCAGCCCCATAGTTTTGAATTTGTTGTGATCCTTCTGCCTCTTCTTCCCTAGTCTCTGGGATTATAAGCATGTACCACTGTAACCAGCTATAGTAATAGTTCTTGAGTGTTGCACTGGCTAGGAATTTGCTTTTTTTCAATACTGAGGACTGAACCAGAAGCACTCTATTTCTGAGATACATTTGTAGCCCTTTTTAAAAATTTGAGATAGGGTCTCATGACTTTGCCCAGGTTGGCCTCCAATTTGTAATCCTCAAATCCTCAAATAGTTTCCCGAGTAGTTGGGATCACAAGTTTTTTGGATTCTCAAGCCCAAAAGGGAGACATGTAACTTTAAAAAATGGAAGAGGAAGCCAGGTGCTGTGATGTATGCCTGCAGTCCTAGTACTCAGGAGCCTGAGGCAGGAGGATCATGTGAATATAAAAGTTTAGGACCACTCTGGGCAACTAAGCAAGACCTCATCTTTAAAATAAAAGATGGCATGTTCACTGGAGAAAAGGAAAATGAGGTAAATTCTACAGAATTTGTGGAATTTATTTCTTCAGCAACCCCACTATCTTACCCTACTCTACTTTAGGTTTAGGAATAATTCCCAAAGCAATCTGCCTTTTTTAAAATTGATTTTGAGTTTATTCAGGGATAGAGGTGTAACTCTGTGGTAGAGTGCTTGCCTAGCATTTGGGAGGCTCTGAATTCTATTCCTGGCACTCTACACACACACACACACACACACACACACACACACACACACACACACAGACAGGAACAAAATCCAGCCAAATTAAAGACAACTGAAAAATTTCCTGACCACCTGTTTTTTTTAATATTTATTTTTAGTTTTAGGTGGACACAATATCTTTATTTTATTTTTACGTGTTGCTGCGAATTGAACCCAGTGCCTCATGCATGCCAGGTGAGCGCGCTACCACTTGAGCAACATTCCCAGCCCCCAACTGGTTTTTGTATGTCTCTGAAGTACTATCAGTCTTTCTGCAGAGCAGAGCAAGCCAACAGCACAATTTACAGTATTTCCTCTAATTAGTTGAGAATGGCTTTCAAGTGTTGTATTTTGCAAACTCTCTCCCATGCCAGGAATGTAGGGAATACCTCCCTTAATCAAAAACTAGGTCAGGCTGAGTATGGTACTGTGTACCTGTAATCCCAGCAATTCGGGAGTGTGAGGCAGGAGGATTGCAAGTTTGAGGCCAAACTTGGAAACTTAACTGGACTCAGTCTCAAAATAAAAATAAAGAAGGGCTGGGGATGTAGCTTATTGGTAGAGTACCACTGCCTCTAGATTCAATCCCTAGTACCTGCCCTTCAACCCCTGCCCCAAACAACAAACAACAAACAAAACCCTGTACCAGGTCAGATGATGCACTCATGGACTTCAGTTGGCCAGAGCTAGGTAGTTTCGGAGTCTTTGCTGCATTACTGGCCCAGTTTCATTTCCAAAAGCCATTGTAAAGTACTGGTGCTAATCTGGCCATTGGATTTATTGATATCCTTTCTTTCTTTCTTTCTTTCTTTCTTTTAATATTTATTTTTTAGTTTTCGGTGGACACAATATCTTTATTTTACATTTATGTGGTGCTGAGGATCGAACCCAGTGCCTCATGCATGCTAAGCGAGCACTCCACCACTGAACCACAATCCCAGCCCCTTGATATCCTTTCAATGTTTTGGTAGTACAACCACAAACATGTATGAGCTTATTTATAAGATAAATTCTTTTTTTTTTAAAGATAAATTTTTAGATACAGAATTAAGTCAAAGTTTAACAATTTGAAAACAATGTAAATTGCTCTCCAAAGATGGCTTTTTAAATTTATATTCCCATCTAGTGTATGAGCTTGTTTCCCACATCTTCTCCATTTTGTATTATCTCTGCTAGTGTTAAAAAATGGCATCTGTGGTGGTGGTAGAGAGCTTGCCTAGCATGCACAAGGTCTTGAGTTTGATCCCTAGCACTGAAAAAAAAAAGAAAAAAAAAGCAAAGAAAAGAACATATCTGTGATTGCAGCTTGGGTTTGGTTTACCTTTGGCTTCAATCCTTTGGCCACTTCCAATCAAACAGTCCTTGATGTCTGCTCCCTTCTCGATCACGGCATTGTTGCAGATGACGCTGCCCTGGATGTTGCTTCTGAAACACAACAGCCAAGTTAGAGTGTCCAGGACTCTCATCACCATCCTTACCACTGGAGGTTCAGGATCCTCCCAAAGCTAGTCCTGTTAATGGTTACATGTGTCAAGTTATCACTGGAAGACAGAATGGCTGACTAAGGGAGAACTTGGCTTTAGAGAATTCTAGAATTAGAATATGCACATAATGATCTTTCTCCAAGGCCTAAAAAGAACAGATATTTTTATTTCAGTTTTTTAGAGTACCCCAGACTTTAGCGTTTAAATAGCATCCAAATTCTCATCCCCCTTCAATCTGCAGGTAGAAGGTGAGGCTGGTTCTTGGGCTGACCTATCATTCCTGCTTCTTAGCTAAGAATACATGACAAATTTCACTTGAGATTCAAAAATCATAGATCTTCCTAGGGGATTAATTAGGAAAACAATGGATTACCCACAGCTCTCACCAAAAACTGTGGTTAGTCAAAATCATACTCATTCAGGAAGAAAAAAAAAAAGATATATATCTTTTTATAAAAAATATATATATATCGATATCCTTTCAATGTTTTGGTAGTACAGCCACAAACATATATGAGCTTATTTATAAGATAAATTCTTAGAAATGGAATTAATGGACTACCTGCCTTAATTAAAAACTGTCAGGCTGAGTATGGTACCGTATACCTATAATCCCAGCAACTGTCAACGTTTAACAATTTGAAAATGATGTATGTATATGTTTGTGTATGTGTGTATGATATGTATGTGTGTGTATGATATGTATGTGTGTGTGTGTATGTATGTGTGTGTATGATATGTATGTGTGTGTGTGTGTGTGTGTGTGTATATCTATCTTTTTTTTTTTTTTTTTTGGCAGTGCTGAGGGATTAACCCAGGGCATCACGAATGCTAGGCAAACACTCTACCACTGAGCTACACCTCCAGTCCCAAAAAAGGATATTTTAGAAACCAGCTTTCATTTCATAAAAGATTATTCCAAATCCTAAAGTACATTCTCTATAGAGTAGCAGTGGTTCTTAGCATTTGAATATATTTTAAAAGCAACTTCCTAGCTCCTGAAGATTGGTAGGTAGGAGAAAAGGTCCTTTTGAAAAATCATCACTGATGTTTACTGCATTTCTACTCTATGCCAAGGACTGTGCTAAATAAATACTCAATGCATATCAGAGTAATTTCTTTTACAAATCTAGTCATTTCATCTGAAAAGTCACCTGGGCTGCGTAAAAAATAACAAATGAAACCACACTCTATGTTTTGAGTTCCCATTAATCATTTTAGTAGGTCTTGGATAGGAACCTATGTATTTAATTGGGAAAAAACCTTCCTAGATGATTCTGGGTATACCATTTTTATCTCTGATGTAGTTAAAATAGCAATCACTTTTTGCAGAGGAGGTAACAAATTTAGTGAAGATAAACCATTTACCCAAAACTACATAACTGCTAAGTGACAGATTCTAATCCAAGTCTGCCTGACTCTAGGATACAAACATTTAGTCATAATGCAATACAAAGAAACTAAGAGGAGAAAAGACTAAAAGAAGATTAGGTCAGACTGAGGTTAATATGGCTCTGTAGAAAAAACTCTGTCCCAACTCTGAATATCTCTGAGTCAGAAATATGAAGAGGCAAAAATGGGCAGTTGGAGGGGAAAAGGAAAATAAGAAGGTGTAAATACAATGTAAACAAAAATGAACCAAACCAACTAAGGAAAAATCTTTAAGAAACCCAGTGGAGGCATGGGAAATAGGAAAGAGGACATTCCAAAGACTGAAAACATTTATACATGGGCTAATAAAAAAGATCCTTCCCAAATGCCAAAACTTTTATGCAAAAAGGAATTCTAGCACTTTCTGGTATTCCGGACTCTTTTAACTTTCTAATTTGCCCAACTTCACAAAGCAATCTTGTCAGCAGTTAGAGAGGTTTCTGCTTCTTCAGGAAAATTCCCCCAAATAGGGTAATAAGGAAATAAGAAAGCCTTGGATGGAGGCTCCTGGGACAGAGCTAGCTTGCAACTAGTTACTAGTTTATCACTGAAAAGTCTCATTTCTTTTCCCAAGGTGTTAGCAGTAGTAAAAGAGCCTAAAGATGCATGTTCTGGAGCCAGACAAGAAGTAAACAGTCAGCAGGTAAGAAACAACAAACAGAAACTCAAGCAGTCATAATTAAAAACTAGTAAACAGCTATACTGAAATTTAGGGTTTAAGTGGGAACCTCTTATCCAGGCATGGTGGTACACACCTGTAATCCCAGCAACCTGGGAGGCTGAGACAGGAGGGCTCAAGTGGTTAAGTGCCCTGGGAGTAAATCCCCAGGACCCTACCACCAAAAAAAAAAAAAAAAAAAAAAAAGGGGAACCTTTTCTGGAAGGATGAGGCTAGACTGACTGAGGTCAGATTTCCATAGTGATGGACAGTCTGGTTTTCCTTATGTTTAGCAGATCTGATTGGGGTCTTTGGGAACCTCACATATTGCTTATCTCATCTAGTTTATGCATTAACTCTTCCTGAGATGTATAAACCACTGTACAGTCTGAATTGTGATAGGAAAAGTGGATTGGTTGATGGGAAGCTGGGGTTTCTCCTGAGACTCCAGGTCAGTGGATCTATTGGAGGATTTGAGATGAACACCTAAGAACAGTTTACCACAAGTGAAGTTCTTCTCTTGGTTTGCTAGTATCATTGGTGTGATCACCCATCCATTAGCCAGGCTGAGGTACTTTGGGAAAATTAACACAGCATATCTTTCCCTCTGTCCAGAAAGAAACTCTAGATTAAGGAATTTATTTTATTTTTTTTCTGGTGCTGGGGATCAAACTTAGGGCCTTACTAAACATGAGGTTTACCACTGAGCTACAATCTTAGTCCAAAGATCAAAGATTTTATTGTGTGTGTCTGCTCATGCTAGAGGGGTTGGACAGATTAGGGCTAAATCAACCAAGCCCTTTCTAGGCTGCCAATGCACAGCAAGGACTCTTCTGCTCAGTACTTAAGAGGGAAGGTGAGTTTCTATAGCACTGGTCCCAGTGTCAGAACTGTAGTTTTTGCAACTAAGTTTTAACTTTCAGCTTGGCACTAAGAACTCTGCTCTAATGCCTAGCTATATTCTCTAAGAGGTTGTCTAGTAATGACTAAGACTAATGGAGATTTGGTCCTCAATTCTCCTTAGTGGGATCATTTTTTAAAAATGTTATTTTAATACTAAGGATTGAACCCAGGGGCTGCTTTACCACTGAGCTATATCTCAGGTCTTTTTTATTTTTTGAGATGGGGTCTTGCTAAGTTGCCCAGGCTGAATTAGAACTTTCAATCTTCCTGCCTCAGCCTCTTGAGTCGCTGGGTCCTACTGGCAGGTGGGAACAATTTTAATTAAAATTGCAGGCCTTGGGAAGTTATCCTGAAAACTGTAATGCATTAGTGAAGAAGAGACCATGAGAAAAAACATAGAGGTTTATAGCGAGATCCCTGCTGGCATAGTGGTATATACTTGTAATTCTAGAAACTCAGGTAACTGAGGCAAGATGATTGTGAGTTAGAGGTCAGCTTGAATAATTTAGTGAGACCCCTTCTAAGCAACAACAAAAAAAGATCCCTGCCTAGGCAGGCATATCACACTATACCATATTATGGCATACCACATGGATAAAACCCCAACTGGGGAAGAAAGGGAACTTCCAAATTCTCAACCTTTTTTTTGGATTGAGATAAAAGATAGGACTTTTCTTCAGTTCATTCCAAGGAAAGAGAAGTCACATATACTATATATAGTGTCTAGTACATCTCAGGAATTGCATATAGCACTTCATATTCATTTTGTAGCTTAGTCCTTTTAGCAAACTTGCAGGATAGTATTTATTTATTCTTATAGAGAAAACTGAGGCTCACGGAGGTTAAACATATATCCAAACATATATATGGTGAGTGACTCTCCATTGTCACGGGTTCCTGCCTCAGCTGTTGACTAGGTAGTATTTGGCAAGGAGCCAGGAAAGTTCTCAGTAACTCTGATGATAAGCAGGTTTTTTTCTTCTCTGGGGGTTAGTTAGCAGATTTTCTAAACCTACTTATAATCCTGGAGGAAAAGAATATGGAATTGGAGCTACTATCTGACAGGTGCCTGGGAGCCTACTAACCTTATCTCAAAGGGTCCTGGTCCAGCTGTCCCTCTAGATGAAGCATATATTGCTTTTAATGAAATATTTCAAGTACAAAGAATACCTATGTGCTTAAGAAATAAATAATACAACCTGTTGTGTTCCTCTTTGTGTTTTCCTTCCCTCCCCCAAGAGGTAATCACTACTTGTGCTGTTTATGTTCCCAAGCATTTTTACCACATAGATTAGTAGACAACATATAGTATTGTTTTGCATACTTTACAATGCTATCATAATGTCAGCATTATAGCACCGAGACTGCTATCATTCTCTATGTGTTCATCTGCAACTTGCTTTTCCCTCTTCAACATCATATTTGTGAGATTTATGCAGGCTAATTCATGCAATGAGATATAAAACTTGAAGAAATAGCTCATGTTTTCCCTGCTGCTGGTCATTTTTGCTTTTGGGTCCTTTGATCAAAATGTACTGGCTCCAGTGAGCAGGTGAAAAATTTTCTCCTTTTAGTTCTATGTGCTTCCCTATACAAAGGTTTGGTGGTAAAAAATGTCATCTTCCTAAGAAATCTGAGCCCTTATATTCCCTGAGCAGAGACTAAGTAAAAGAGAGGTTTGGGGAAAATCAAAGCAAAGATGTAAGAACCTTAGGGAATTAAGTTGTGCAGTTCTCCATCTAAGATGATGGGTTTAGTGTAAATGGTTCAAAGGTAGGAAAAGAATCAAAACCCTTAGGAGCCCTTTAAATCCAGGGTACCTTCCTCATGTTAGCATAATATAGTGTTTTCAAGAGTATAAATGAAGAAACATGGGTGGATAGTTTTTAAAAAATATATTTTTAGTTATTGATGGACCTGTATTTTTTCAGATGTTAATGAACTTTTATTTTATTCATTTATTTATACACAAAACTGAGAATCAAATGTAGTGCCTCACACATGCTAGGCAAGCACTTTCCCACTGGGCTACAATCCTAACCCCCTCTCTCCCTTTTTTTGCTGCTGAGGATTGAACTTAGAACTTCCACTGAGCTACATCTCCAGTCCCAAAATTCTTTTAATATTTTTTCTTTTTATTGTGTTGCTGGGGATCAAACCTAGGCTTCTCACATGCTAGGCAAGTGCTCTACTCCTGATCCACACCCCAACCCCTATGTTGTTTACCCCTCCTACATATTAAATTTTATACCTCAAACTACCAATTTGTTAATAGTTTATTAATAAGCTTCACTTCTTACTAGGCTATATTGTTTGCAAGCAGTTCTGCAAAAAGTTCACAGGTGCCACATCTTCTGCACCTTGGAATATTTCTGATGTTTCAGGATTCTTAGATTGCAACTCTTATCCCTCTAAATTCTCTAAATGTTGTTTCATTGTTTTCTGGTCCTAAATGTTGCCACAGAAAAGGTATACCAGATTTTCTCCCTTCTATGCACTTGAATAGTTTTTCCTTTCAGTTCTTTATGCCTTGATATTTTGCCAAAAGGATGCTGGCCATTCTCCTTTACTTCACCCATGTTTCCATTCTTCTCCTCCTTTTTTGGTACTGGGGATTGAACCCAGAGAGGCTTAACCACAGAGTCACCTCTCAGCGGCCACCCCCACTGCCTTTTTTAATTTTTTTTTTTTTTTTGTAGTTGGACACAATACCTTTATTTTATTTATTTATTATTTTGTGGTGCTGAGGATTGAACCCAGTGCTTCGCACATGCTAGGTGACAGCTATATTGCTGAGCCACAACCCCAGCACCCCCAGACTCATATGTGTATATATATATATATATATTTTTTTTTTTCCATTGTTGATAAAGCCCCAGCCACAGCCCCCTTTATATTTTATTTAGAGAGAAGATCTTGTTGAGTTACTTAGGTCCTCGCTAAGTTGCTGAGGCTGGCTTTGAACCTCCTGCCTCAGCCTCCCGAACTGCTAGGATTATAGACATGTGTCACCATACCCAGCATGTTCCCATTCTTTATACTCACTGAATCTTGCTTTTTGGATTTTATCTAAATTTCATTGTATTTGGTAGATATTCTTTAGCCTGTGTATGAATATGTGACAGTTATCCAGTTTTAATAATAGATGAAAATTCCTTCTTTTTTTCAAGGAGTAAACAGGGATCTCTCTTTTTTTTTTTCCCCCCTTCCAGCATTGGGGATTGAAAATGCTAGGCAAGTGCTCTACCACTAAGTTATAACCCCAACCCTGAAAGGGATCTCTTGACAGATATTCAGCCAATATGGTAGGAGAGTTAAACTGGGGATCCCCATTTGTTGTTTAGTAAATACTTCCAAGGTATATAAAAAATGCAGTATTAGCTGGGCATGGTGCTACACACCTGTAATCCCAGTGACTTGGGAGGCTGAGGCAGGAGGATTACAAAGTTGAGGCCACCCTGGGCAACTCAATGTGATCCTGTCTCCTGTGTTGGAAACTGAACTCAGGGCCATGCACAGGTAAAGCATTCTACCATTGAGCTACAGCCCCAGACCTAAAAAGTGTTTTCCTATTTGAGGAATTGATAGTCTGATTAAAGAGAAAATAAAGATGCAATAAGTGTCCCATTGTCACATGAGCATTGAAAGTGTTTGGGTGAACAGGGAACATAGAGGTGGGGGAAATAATTTCTGGCTGGGACATTTTGAGAAGGCTAGAAGGTTAATTCAAGAGTTGGAAAATGTGAGGCTGGGGATGTGGCTCAAGCAGTAGCGCGCCCGTCTGGCATGCATGCGGCCCGGGTTCGATCCTCAGCACCACATACAAATAAAGATGTTGTACCCACCGATAACTAAACAATAAATATTAAAATTCTCTCTTTCTCTACCTCTCTTTAAAAAAAAAAAGAGTTGGAAAATGTACTGTATTTTAAAAGAGGGGTAGAATTTCTGCAGGTAAAGATCTCTAAAGGGAGGCAATTCAGGCAGAGTTTTAAGAATAGAGAGAATGGGGCTGGGGTTGTGGCTCAGTGGTAGAGCACTCACCTAGCATATGTGAGACACTGGGTTTAATCCTTAGAACCACAAAAATAAATAAATAAATAAATAAAATCGCGTCCATCCATAACTACACACACACACACACACAAAAAAAAAAGAGAATAGAGAGAAATGTAAAATAAGGAATCCAGTGGATGGGGCAGTCAGTCAAGTGTACTTGAAGGGCAGGCTAAGGGTAGCAATGAAAAGCAGTATTATCTTTGGCTCTGAGAATCTGCACTTGCTAGCTTCAGAAAGCATGGAAAACCTAGGTGAAAATCTGATTCCCTGCCTGCTTGCACATGGAGGTGCTATCCTAGATTGCTAAATTTGCCTTGGGTAGTTTGTTGCTCAGGATCAGGGGACTAAAGATGCGGACAGAAGGGCTGGGGATGTGGCTCAAGCGGTAGCGCACTTGCCTGGCATGCGTGCGGCCTGGATTCGATCCTCAGCACCACATACCAACAAAGATGTTGTGTCCGCCGAGAACTAAAAAATGAATATTAAAAAATTTTCTCTCTCTCTCTTTAAAAAAAAAAAAAAAAAAAAAAAAAAGATGCGGACAGAACACAAGACTGACATTCAAGCCTTGATTAAGTTTTTACTAGGTTTTAGATTCCCAAGCATCAGCTGTGATAAAAGTGGCAGAAGGGCTGGGGTTGTGGCTCAACGGTGTACAGTTCTTGTCTAGCAGGTGTGAAGTCATGGGTTCGATCTTCAGCATTACATATAAATAAATAAAATAAAGATATTGTGTCCACCACCAACTAAAACAAACAAATATATATATATATATATATAGGAAATATATATAAAAAGATAGGAACTTTCTTTGTGTAGTCTCACACCTTCCCCAAGGTGGTCCTATTAGTATCTCTCAAGCCCTGAGGACATTGGGCAGGTATCCAGCCCACTGTCCAGAAAGCTCAGCAGCCCACAACCACTGGTAGAGACAAGCACACCAAGAATATGAGAAATTCTTTCTGGACAAATTTATGCTCCTAATCTGACACTCAGTCCAGACATAATGGCAACAGGGTAATCAAGATTCACATGACTGCAATTTAATTACCTTCCTCAAATTTACCAAAAGTTAATTAAGACTAAATGACACCCCCAATATGGGAAACATTTTATAAGGGATGTAGGATGTCTGATCTTATCACTAGGAGCTAATTTGCAGGATTGTGTAATTTCCACTGGCCTTTCTAGTCATTAAGCTGGTATGGGCTGCCTATAGCTTTACATCAATGTTTTTATTTGGAAAAGAAGCAGCAGCAGCTGTCTGAACCTCTTACTATTTCCCCAGCTAAAAGCCTTACTAGATCATCTAAGATTATGCGTGCTTTAACAGCAACTGACTCTGTGATCTGTTAGGCTTTTCCTCTCAATTTCTCTCACATAGCAGTAGTTTCTTAGGGAGCCATGAGTTTCCTCACCAAGTTTCTTCATATCAATTAAGATACTAACACTGATCTTTCACATGGTGCCAGAGAACTGCTCCTTTGTTTGCCCGCCCATAGGAGGGTTGGGGGACAGTATTAATTAGAGCAAATGAGGGAAAGTTACAGCATTGTCTTTCTTGGAAGGTCTGAGGCAAGATGAGATAGCATAAGCTACAAAGCCTCATGAAATGCAGTGGAACTAGGTGGTCAAATGGATAAAGGTAAGTGAGGTTTCAGTTTCCAAAAAAATGATAGTGTCTGTCAGTCTCATGTGGGAGTATGGAATAGGAAATGGAGTAACAGGTGAGATGAGAAAAAAGCCTGGAATGCCACAATTTATTTGACTGTGAAAATGAAGGAGTTGAGCTAGATGACTTCTAAGGCCTCATGTCACTCTGACATCCCAGGACTCATTGTTGGAGACAGATCATGAGAAACCACTAAGTTTCAATTTTATTCCAAAGGTAATGAGTGAAAAGCTGGATGTGGAACCACATGTCTATAATTCTAGGGACCTGGGAGACTGAAGCAGGAGGATTGCAAGTTAGTAATTTAGTGAGATCATCAGCAATGTACGAAGAATCTGTCTCAAAATGAAAAATAAAAAGGACTGGGGAATGTAGTTCAGTGGTAAAGTGCCCCTGGGTTCAACCTCCAGTATTTAAAAAAAAAAAAAAAAAGATAATAAGGAGACTTCAAAATTTTTTTAATGGCATAGAGACAAGATCTGATATATTACTTTCCTTTTTTTTTTGGTACTGGGAATTGAACCTAGAAGTGCTTTACCACTAAGTCATATCCTCAGCCCATTTTATTTTTTATTTTGAGATGGCCTTGCTAAGTTGCTGAGGCTGGCTTTGAATTTGCAACCCTCCTGCCTCAGTCTCCCTGAGCTGCTGAAATTATAAGGGTATATCACCTTAGGAATGCCACCTTTGTGAAGATAAAGTAATTATATATATATATATATAAAAGGCAACTATCATTCTGTGTGCCTATGTGCAAATATTGTTCTAAGTGATTTATACTTATCAATTCCTTTAGTACTCCCAATAAACCTATGAGATAGTTTAGTTTTACTCCATTTTATAATGAGAAGATGGAACAAAGAGGAAAGGCCAATTCTATAAATGGCTAACAAGGGCCAGACAGACCCAGGATTCAGTGTCAGTCTGACTCCAAAATTTATGCTCTTCTAATCCAGAAGAGCAATGGTGGCATTGGGAAGAGAAAAATGAAGACAGGAAAATAAGTGAGAGAACACTACTTTAATTCTTCTTTTTGGACTTGTAATGGAGTTGTGTAAATCCATAAACCCATTATACATTTAAAAAAATAAATAATTTTTGCAGTACTGGGATTAGAACGAGGTAACATTCTACCTCTCAGCCACATCCCCAGCTCTTTTTATTTATTTAATTATTTTTATTTTTTATGGTACTGGAGACTAAACCTATGGCCTCATGCATGCTAGGCAAGCACTCTTTCACTGAGTTACATTCTCAGCCCTCTTTTTATTTTATTTTGAGACAGGATCTTGCTAAATTGCCAAGGCTGGCCTTGAACTTGTGATCCTTCTGTCTCAGCCTCCTGAGCTGCTGGGATTATGGTTGTGTGCCATCACTCCCAGCCTTTTCTTCTACTTTTTTTTTTTGTGTGTGCTGAGTTTGAATCCAGGGACACTTTACCACTGAGCTATATACCCAGTCCTTTCTATTTTTTATTCTGAGACAGGGTCTATGTAAGTTTTCAAGGCTGGCCTTGAACTTGTGATCCTTCTGCCTCAGCCTCCTGAATTGCTGGGATTACAAGTATATGCCACCATGCCCACTGTAACTGTGTTTTTAAATATTGTGTTTCTGTGTTAGATTTTGTTTGTTTGTTATTGGGTTTTTTTGTTTGAGTGACTTCTACCACTGAGCTGTATTCATTTGGCATGCATAAGGCCCTGGGTTTGATCCCCAGCACTGCCCCCCAAAAAATAAAAAACAAAAACCAACAACATTATTATTACCCCCCGACCCCCAACATTATTTTGAGGCAGGGTCTTGGAACTTGTGATCCTTTTGCCTCAGCCTCATGAGTTTCTGGGATTACAGGTATGCAGAACCATGCCTGGCTTTGCAGAAGATTTATCTTGAGAAAATGTTTCAAAACCATTTATCTTGAAATATCCCTCCTTTTTATATAACCTATACTTGCATTTTATATACAAAACCTCCCTGAAACCACACAGAAGAATCTCATTAAATATCATTCAAATCTTCTAACTCTATGTCCAAGCTGTTCATAAATTACAATTTTAGGTCACTCTAGTGTTTCCAAATGACAACGATTCTCTACAACTTGTAGAGAAGCTGGCCTCAAAAGCAGAGTGTGCTTATGTATCCACTCTGCCTAGGCTTCTGCCTTCTTCAGATTTGCTCTGGGACACTGAGTAAGAGAAGGTTACTCTGAGGATGCAGGGTCATCTCAGCGATGTCAGTGGTTCACTATGGTGGTCATCCTTATGAAGCATGATACCAAGACAAGAGAAGGCAGCTTTTCCAGAGTTACAACTGTCATAAGTATGAGGGTATTGGAAATGCTTTCAGAGATCATGTCATTGATGAGGCAAACCCAAAGCCTCAAAGGAAATAGGTGCTACTCCATCTTTTTTCTTTTCTCTTCCTTCCCAAGGTAAACTCTTTCTTGGGTTGGACTGGTGGACTAGCCCTCTAAGCCTTCCAGGGTACAAAGAACCTTATCTCAATTGGGTACAAGAAGAAACTTACCCTTCTTCCACAGTGACTGAGTTCATGAGAAGGCAATTGGTAATATTCACTCTGTCTCTTATGAGACAGGATGAACCAACAACTGAGCGCTTAATAGATGACTTCTCTCCAACCTGTGTATCTGGTCCGATGAGGCTGTCAACTCCAACCTGCAAAAGGCAGACAGAAAACATTGTTCATCTGTCCAACCAATTATAAATCATTCCCAGATCACTTGAGTTGGAGTCTAATGTGATCTTTCATAGAGACAGTTCAATAAAAACAACCAACATTAGTGTTTCTCAGGGCTAAAAATTCCCACAACCCCTCTGAGACAAACTCAAACCTACATTGAAGCATGGGCTCTCCCTTGCCAAGAAAAGAAAACAAAACAAAATGGACACATACGCACATACTTATGTATTTGTGTGCACAGATGTGCTCTCTTGAAGAGTATGCTCAAGTCAGGATAAGAAGAGAGACAGAGATTTTAAGTACCTTCCCAGAATTATTATATTATTATTTTTTGGTACTGGAGATTGAGCCTAGGGGCACTTTACCACTGAGCTACATCTCCAGCCCTTTTTACTTTTTATTTTGATACAGGATCTCACTAAGTTTCTTGGGGCCTAAAACTTGTGATTTTCCTGCTTTAGCCTCCCAAGTTGCTGGGATTACATGCTGAGCCACCAGACTGGCCCAGGAAGTCTTTTTTTTTTTTTAAATCTCTGAGTCAGGTCTCCAGCCCACCTCCATTTAAATTTTTTTTAAATTGTTTTTTAGTTGTAAATGGACACAATACCTTTTATTTATTCATTTTTTTTTTGTGTAGTGCTCAGGATCGAACCTAGTGTATCACATGTACAAGGCAAGCACTCTTAGCCACAACCCAGCCCTGTTTTTTTTTTTTTTTTAAGATAGGGTCTTGCTAATTTGCTGAGGTT